GTTACTATCGTTGGAGGGAAGACTTGTGACTCAGGCCACAGAGGGTGGGGGCCTTCGGGGCCTACTTTCCAGGGCCCTGAACTTGGGAGCCAAGCCTTGCCATGCCTCAGCCTCTTCCCTGCCTCATCATCATAGATACATTAAACATCAGGCTGGAAGGGATTTCAGAGGCCAAGAGTCCAGAGAACCAAAGACCCAGGGGAATCGGGGAAGGATGTGCCCACTGGCACAAATGTCTGATGACCTTGAGCTCCTCCAGTCATAGTTCCTTCAGTCGCCCATCCCTCATCACTTTCCCATCTGGACTGGTGTAGTAGCTCGTCTCTCATTCACCAATACATCTTCCACACGGCCAGCGGCATGATCCATATTCAAAGCTAATTTTAATACCCTTCCATCCATCAGCCATGGAAACAAGTCCTAATTCTTGCCTTGTATACAAGGCCCCAGGATCTAGATCTTTTCCACTTTTAACTGCAGCCTTTGCCACCACCCCTTCAGCTCTACATCTAGGAGAAGCCAAGTCTTCTGATGCTCCCTTCTTCCTGCATATACTCTGCGGCTCCACCTGATGAACTCAGCCTTAAAACCCAACTCAAATATCCCTCCCTGGTAAAGCCTTCCCTGAGATCTTGGAAAAGTTAGTGTATCAGGTAGGAATGCTCTCAGTTAAAAGCAACAGAAAACCCAAGCAAAGGAATGATTCTGACCCTGGGTTGCCATCAGAATCACCTAAAGAGGAACTTCCCTGGTGGTCCAATGGTTAAGACTCTGCGCTTCCAGTGCAGTGAATGCAGGTTTAAACCAGGGGGTTAGGGAGCTAAGATCTTTTGTGTCATGAGGCATGGCCAAAAATATTTTTAAATGAAAAATATTTAAAAGAATCACCTAAGGAGCTTTAAAAAGTCCCCATCACTATACATATGCCAGATCAATTTAATTAGAATCTTTGAGGTGGACCCAGGCATCTGTAATTCTCAACACCTCCCATGTTCTAATGTGCAGCTAAGTTAAGAAGCACTGAAGCAGGAGTTATCTTTCTCACATAATGAGTCCAAAAGTAGGCAGTTGCTGGTGTTGGCTGAGTGGCTTAGCCATATCCAGGCCAGGTCTCAATGATACTTTGACCTTTCCTTTCTGCTTTGCTGCCTCAAGGTCAAAATATGGTTGTAGTTGCCTCTTCATGTCCAATGCCTAAAGAAAGTTGTAGAGAGAAGGGGAGGGTTCAATCCATCCTCTTTTTATGAGCAAATCAAAGACTGTCCTAGAAACCCCTCAGTCAACTTCAGCTTAGATGTCATTGGTCACAGTGAGCCACACCCAGCTGCCAAGATCGCTCCTCCCAAATCAGTGTGTGTTATCGAGGAAGGAGCTCAGGAATGGACACTGAAGGGTGGCAGAATACACCACCCCAAAATATGTCACTTGGGCCTAAGGATTATTTTGAACAGATGCAAGAAGGGCCTTCTAATCTCCTCTTTTCTTCCAGAAAAGAAAGTGGAAGTGTTCATCACTCAGTGATGTCCAACCGTTTGTGACCCCATGGACGATAGCCCACCAAGCTCCTCTGTCCAAGGACTTCTCCAGGTGAGAATACTGGAGTAAGTAGGACCTTGTCATTTATCTTTTTTATATATAGTGGTATGTATCTGTTAGCCCCAAATTCCAAGTTTATCCCTTCTCATCCATATAAATGTGTATGCTTTTCTCCTGTTAATCTGCTTATGTCACTTCAATTAACAGGCCCAGCTGAAAAGCCCTAATTGGGCAGGGGAAAACTGTTGCCTCCCCTAGAGCACCAGCAGATTCTGCCACGGTGACTTAACCTCTCTCTTGGCTTCACACATCATCTGGCAAACATCACATTAAAGGCATTGTGCAGACGTGTGTCAACGTGTCTGTGTCTCCCGCCAGACTGGCAGTTCTTAACTAAGACTGAACATTAGAAATACCTGGGGAGCATTTTGAAAAATACCAGTGCATACACCCCATCCACAGAGATTTTAATTGGTCCAGGTACACCCAAGCATAACTAATTTTAGAAACTCCCCAGAGTGATTCTAATGGGCAGACTGGGTGAACCACTGGGCTAACCACTGCTATCTAAGACCTTCAAAACGGGGGCTGGGGACTCCCCTGGCAGTTCTGTGATTAAGACTTCACCTTCCAATGCAGGGGGGAGTGAGTTTGCTCCCTGGTCAGGGAGTAAAGATCCCACATGCCTCATAGCCAAAAACTAAAACATAAAAAAAAAAAAAAAACTGAAAGCAATATTGTAACAAATTCAATAAAGACTTTTAAAATGGTCCACATTAAAAAAAAGAGAGAGAAACTTAAAAGAACAGGGGCTGAATCTTGAGCACAGCACTACTTATAACATGGGACTCACAGGGTATCTTCACTGAATGAACAAATGAATAAATGAATGAACAATGGAGAAGAACTTCTGCTTCAGCCTCGTTCACCCTCAGACTGTACTGTGCACCGTTCTGAGTGTTATTCTTCCTTCTTCTCTGTTTTCTCATCTCTACTGAGCACCACATTCAATCACCCTCAGTGAATGACCTCCGTGGGCCAGCCGGACCCTCCTGGGTGCACGGACTTCCTGCTTCTCTGACAGCTGCCATGCCAGACACCCCAGTCCCACTCTTACCTGGCAGCAGCCCTAGTTGAAGGAGATAACTCTCTCCATCCACATCCAGGATCCCCTCTTGTGCCTTAGCTAAAGCCCCCACCCAGTGTGACAAGACAGCAGTGGGGTGGGGGGGCTAGGGTTCCACGTGCTTCCTCTTCCACACTCAGCCCCAATCCCCAAGTGGACCCCCAAGTATTCAGTAGCAGTGTGTCTGGCCTTACGAATAAGCAACCCACAGACAAAATGTCGACTTCTTCTGCCCAAGTGTAGAAAATGTGTCTTATCGGATTCCGTAGACAATCTGCAGTCTGAGCAATGACCCTGTTAATGTCACCAGAATGAGTCAGTGGTGGGCACATCCTCAGTGATAACATCATCCCATATCCTAGCCTCTGATTCTGACTTCCATTACCCGCCTGAAAATGCTTGTTCAAGGTCCCCTACGGGGCCAGGCTCAGGTCCTGCAACCTGTGCAGGGCCCCATGCCCTCCATTCAGTAGGGCCCTGCACTTGGTTTTACAACCTACTGCTGTTGCCGTCTTGAAATTCTCAAGTTTTGAACAGAGGCCCCCACGTCTTCATTTTGCACTGAAGCCTGCAGTGCTGTTCACCCATAGTCTCTTAGAAATCCAACAAGGTTTTTTCCTCCCCAGAAAGGCTCCACAGCATATGACCTCAGCTCTCTGTGACACCCATTCTTCTGTTCCCTTCCCTTACATTAGAAGAGGGTGGCGTGATGGGGCGGTGTGGCTGTAAATGACGACGGTCAGGATCAAGAGACCCTGGGGAATAAGTCGTCCAAGCTCTCCCCAGCTCCTGGGCATGAGGGAGAGTTAAAAGTACCAGCTTAGGAGCTCAAGGCCCCAGCAAACTAAGAGAACATGAGTCAGGTCCAATCCAGAACAGAAAACCAGTGAGAAAACTTCTAGATGACCATATGGGACTTCAGAAACCTTGAAGAACCCCCTCCAGCTCCTTAAGGGGCCATCTGCCAACAGTGCAGAGAACTAACAGTGCTCCTTGCCAGGCACTGGACACCCTTCAGGGAGCCAGAAGATGAGGTCCTCCCAAGAGAGACAAGTTTTCCCAGAAAAAGGGTGAAGGAAGCTTATTTACCATGGAAGAAGGTGTGTGCAGTAGGAGGAGAGACGGGTTGCTGAAGGCAGTGGTGTGAGATGAGGCCCCCCCAGGCCTGCCAAGTGGTAATCCTCCTACTGAGCCAGGCTCTGGGCAGAGGGCAGAGGTTCTAGGAGGCAGAGTCTCAGCCCTGGCAGAGAGAGGAAGGATGGAGGCTAGCAATGTCAAGGCCTTGGAAAGGAAGCCTGAGGCAGGGAATAGAATTGGGGCCTGGTCTTCCCACGACAGGGCTCATCAGAGTCCGGGATCTACCCTCTCTGGGCATCGCCTGGCAAGACCAGGGCTCAGGTATCTGACACCTGGGGCCCGGAGTCACATGCCAGGAAACCCAACACTCCTGGGCCCCAGCCCCCAGCTTCCAGCAGCTACAGGAGCAGGGCTCCGGAGGAGGAAGTGGGTCTCCAGAGTCGCACCACAGGGAGGCTACTTCCGGGAAGAGGGCAGCACCGGAGAAGGCTCTCCCAGCAACAGGGTGAGAGGCTGGGAAGACGAGGAGGGAGAGGACAGGGAGGAAGAGTGGGGCGGAGAGGACAGGGCTGGGACGGGCCGAGGGGTGGACACTCCAGGAAAGGGGTGAACGGGCACAGAAGGGGGGGCCCGAGTCACTCAGCCTGGCTGGATCCCATGAAGTGCTATTACTGATCCGTCCTCCCCGTCTCCTTCACACCAGTGCTCTCTGGTGCCTACCTGGCCCACCTGGCAGCCACCCAGGTCCTTTATTCCAGTGGAAGGAAACAGGACATGGGCAGAAGCAGACGCTTAGGAGCCCCCAGGCCCAGAATGACCAACAGAGCCTTGGACAGAAAGACTTCCTAGATTAGCCCTCCAGAATCAAAGAGAACTTAGAAGAGTCTCAGGCCCAGGGGACTGTCTACCCCGAGGGCCCAGTAAGGAAGGAAGCAAAAGAGCCGCCCAGGCCTGAGGGGGAGAAGGAAATGGCAACCCACTCCAGTATTCTTGCCTGGAGAATCCCATGGACACAGGAGCCTGGCAGGCTGCAGTCCATGGGGTCGCAAGAGTCGGACACGACTTAGCGGTTAAAGACAGAGAAAGAGAGGCCTGAGGGAGCTCCCAAAGGAGAGGCCCTAGCCCAAAGAGAATCCAGAGGCAGACTTCAGGAAGAGAACGCTGGCCGCAGGGAACAGAATTCTCTCAACTCACTCTTCCTTTATGGAACTTTTCCTTCCCCAGATTCTACTCCAGTCCAGGACTATGCCAATCTGTGGCCATGTTCCCGCCAGCCAGTCACCTCCTGTCCCTGCTGCTGGTGATAGACGCAGGGGGCACCGTGCCCAGCCCCCAGGGGGTTCCCCAGGGCTGCTATGCGGCAGAGGAAGCTGGGGAGCGGACCTTCCGCTGCAGCCAGGCAGGTCTGAGCGCCGTGCCCACCAGCATCCCCAACGACACCCGCAAGCTCTACCTGGATGCCAACCGGCTGGTGTCGGTGCCAGCTGGTGCCTTCCGGCACCTGCCTGTCCTGGAGGAGCTGGATCTGTCCCATAACATCCTTGCCCACCTCTCAGCGGCTGCTTTCCAGGGCCTGGCGGGCACGCTGCGCCGCCTTGACCTCTCTGCCAACCAGCTGGCCTCGGTGCCCGTAGAAGCTTTCGTGGGGCTAAAGATCCAAGTGAACCTGTCTGCCAACCCGTGGCGCTGCGACTGTGCCCTCCAGGAGGTGCTCCGGCGGGTGAGGCTGGCCCCGGGCACGGGGACGGGCATCGTGTGTGGCCCGGGAGCCCGACCGGACCTCGTGGGGCAGGAGTTCCTGCCGCTGGTCGGGGAGGAAGAGCTGTGTGGGACAGGGCGGGGCGGGGCCCGGCGCAGCACCGACGTGGCCCTGCTGGTCACCATGGGGGGCTGGCTGGTGCTGGTGGTGGCTTATCTGGCCCACTACGTGCGGCAGAACCGGGACGAGACCCGACGTCCCCTCAAGCGGGCCCCCGTGCTGCCTGTGCGCTCTGAGGACTCCTCCACCCTCAGCACAATGGTCTGACGACCAGGGACACTTCTCCCGGCCCTCGCCCGGCTCCCCTGTCCTCTCCTCTGACCCCCTCTGCTTCCCCTGCAGCCCCTTCCCATCCCCCAATTCCACCCTTCCTCCTCTGTCTCTCCGAAACACCTGATATCTCTCAGTCCAACAACACCATCTTCTGTGCCTGGGAGGTTGAGCGCCTACTTTTGGTACCTACTCTGCTGGTCTCTCATAAAGAGAATGAGGGAGAGAGACTGTCACAGTTATCGTTATAGATTCACTGCATGGAAAAATATTTTCCAGAATTATGAATTAATTAACAGCCTAGAATTCTTTTTTCATACTTACAAACTATATAATGAAGGACTGCAATGCATTTTGCATAGCATTCATTTGTTTAAAATTGCTACTTTCTGAAATTCTCTTGTTTTCACATTTTGTTGGGGAACCCAACAACTCTACTGAGAAACCCAACTCAGTAGAGTTTCACCCAAGAAATAGCAATAGTTGGACATTTCTGGATTTTTCCATATTGCTTTTTTTCTTGTTATATTTATACTTGATTTTGAAGGGTTGCTTATGCTTGTGTCACTGCAAGCAATCAGTACCCAGTCATCTTGTAACACAGTGATACTTACTGTACAACAAAGCCTGAGTTTCTACCAACTGTAAGCCCCTAGAGTTAGGTGTCTCCCTCCTAATCCATTTATCTATACTATGGCCTTTTCTCTTTACACTCAGCAGGTTCATAAGGTTATTTGCCTTTAGTGATTTCACTTTCTTACAGTATGAAATATGAAGGTTGATAAAAGGAGAGATTGCATCTAAAAAATAATAATAAAGAACAGGAAAGCAAAGCTAAAAGAAACAGCAGCTCTAATTTATTTCTTTGAGAGTCTCAGTTCTCCTTAAGTGTTGTCCTGTTTTGGCTCTTCAAATCCAGCCTAAGCTAAAATGAAGAGGTATAGTAGATGCTGGTATTACATATATGAACAGTTCCCAAAGACCCCAGTAGAGTAAAGACCAAAAGGAAGCAAAACTAAAAGAATATAAAACAGGAGAGCTGGGTTCAGTCCCTGGGAGATCTTCCCTTGGGAGAAGGGAATGGCAACCCACTCCAGTATTCTTGCCTGGAGAACCCCATGGACAGAGGAGAGCCTGGTGGGCTACACTCCATGGGGTCACAAAGAGTCGGACACGACTGAGTGACTTTCGCTTTCACTGTGCCTGGACTGTGCTAGACTGAAACCCAGAGCTTCTGAGTCCATGGAGATGGGGGAGTGACAGACCAGAGAACGGTGGTAAATGATCACGTGGGCCACCTCGGAGGTAGGAGCAGGCAGCTGTGGAGCGTGGTGGAGGTGGTCTCAAAGGCGGCACTGAGTGGATGTTTGAACTGACTCTTCAAGAATGAGGGGGGCTTTGGCAGAAAGGGGAAGGTCCCCAGCTGAAAGGTGGTGGGCTAAGGCAAAGAAAATGCAAAACAACTTGGAATGTCTGGGCAGCGGCAAGACTTACCTGGGGGCTGGAGAAGAGGGTATATAGGAGGGCGAGGAGACAGAGGGACCAAGCTGGCGGTGAGGTCAGAAGGGACCGTGTGGGCTCCTCCTCTCTTCTCCCTCTGCCTCTGCTGAAAAGCTTCACCCGCCCCCTCCCCTCTCTCTTTCTCACTCTCTCTCACCCAAGCTCTGCTTGGAACTACCCTCTACTATGGATCCCCTGTCTTAGGGTCCTCTGCTTCCTATTTCGGAGATTCCCTAGCTCTCAGCTCTCTCCTTTATACACAGAAGGGCTTCCTGAACCCTTTCCCTTGGGAGAAAAGCGGTTTCTGCTCCACCTGAACTGGGGATGGATCACTAGAGAGCTAGAGGGATGGGGAGGTTTCCCACCCCCACCCCAGAACATCACTGGACAATTCCGTGAAGTCCCTTTATTAATGTCCCTGATCTCTTTCTCGTTTCACTGAACATGTGCGGCCCTGCACTGAGGAGTGGGAGGGTGTTGGGACCTTCACCTCCACCACCAGCACTCCTCTGATGAGGGTGCTCCCGCTGAGCTGGTGCCAGCTCCTCTCTCCTCTCCCACCTCCCAGCTCCTGACACCAGAGTCTATCTGCCACGGATGCCAGGGCCTATGCATTAATGGTGATGGAAATGGAAGGACAGGGGATGGGAGGGGACCAGGAGGGAGGACAACCAGGGAGGAGGGAAGGAGGGCAAAGCCCAGACTACTAAGGGGGCACGGGCAGAGGGAGTCAGTACTCTCTTAGCAATCTGTCTCTTCTCTCAGCAGGAGTCCAGGTAGGGGGCAGAGAGAAACTCGATGTCCCCACAGTTAATCAAAGAATGCCTGGACAGAGTGGGAGGGGAGAAACCATGCTGGTTGAAGGAGGGGGCTATATGAGATATCCCCATCACAAAGTCACCTTTTCACGGGACCCAAAGGTGCCAACACACACTGTGCCTTGTCCTTATGAGGGTGACTCACCCATGTGGCCTCCGTGGAGGAAACAGCTACTTTGGGAAAGCTCCTGGGAGCCCCAGTAGAAACTGAAGATAAACACTGAAGCAGGGTTCCACCTAACTTATGGCAGAGCCTGGGGCAGAGGAGGAGGCCACTCAATGAGCAGCAAAGAGGAAGCCATCACCTCCCTTCGTCCCTCTGACCCATCCTGACTTCCCTGTATCCTTTCCAGTCCTGCCCGATCCACTCTCGATCCCTGAGGTTCCCCTGAGCACTCCAAGGCTGAGCTTCCTCACCTCACCCAGGAAACCTCCACTCGGCTCACCTCACAAGAACCTGGGACAGGCCCCCATCTTTTCTCAGGAGACTTGGGCCTCCATCTCCACTTCCAGAGATGCTCAGGGATGGGGGAAAGAACTTGAAGGTGGGGAGTTTCAGGCTGTGGCTTTGACCATCCACCCCAGCCACATCCTGGCCTGGGCCTTAGGATCCTGCCCCATCCCTATCAAACCCTCCGTCAGTCCCTCCCCTACCACTCTCAGAATCTGCCCCCATTCTGCTCACCCATCCCCTTCCAGAATCAGCTGGGACTCATCTCACTGGGTTCTGGGAAAGAGTGTGGAGACCTGTGGGAGTGGGAGGATAGGGGACAGGTGGGGCTCGGGGTCCCTGTCATTGGTGCCTATTTTGGGACGTTCATTCAAATCCCTGTTGTCCTGAGCAGCAGTGACAGCATCTTTAAGGTCTTCAGAGAGTGGGTTCCCCTACCCTGACCCCTAACTCCAGTTCTCAGAGATAAGTGCAGGATGGGAAGCCTAGATAGTAAACATCCCACCAGTTATCGCCATGGCTCCCCTCTGGCTCAGATTCCTTTACCTCCCTGGAATTAGGACAGGAGGGAGGGAGAGGGAGGACAAGTGGGGCAGAAGAAGACAGGGGGCAGGGTGGGGAGGTGGCAGGGATGGGGAGGTGGTGGGCTGCTGTGGCTCTCCTCCCCAGAGAGCGACCCCCTCACCCAGGCCAGTCGGGGTCTCTGAGGCAGAACTTGGTGCAAGGGGGACATCAAATGCTGTAACTTTGGACTTCCCTGGCGGCCCAGTGGCTGAGACTACGAGTTCCTAATGCAGGGGCCCTGGGTTCGATCCCTGGTTGAGGAGCTAGATCCCGCATGCCATAACTAAGAGATTTCTCATGCTGCAATGAGCTAAGACTCAGTGCAGCCAAAAAAAGAATCTGCCTGCCAATGCAGCGGACATGGGTTTGATCCCCGGTCTGGGAAGATTCCACATCCTGTGGGGCAACTAAACCCATGCACCACAACCACTTAGCCCACGTCCTAGAGCTGGTGCTCCACAACTAGAGAAATCACTGCAATGAGAAGCCTGCACACAGCAGCTGGAGAAAGCCCACACACAGCAATGAAGACCCAGCAAAACCAAAAATTAATAAATAAATGAATAATTTTTTTAAACGCTGTAGCTTCGACTCAACCCATGACAGGAGACTGAACAAAGTGGGGCACCCACAGACTGAAACACCTGCCGGGATAACAGTCACTGAATCCCTAAGCCCTTCCCTCAGCACCTTGGCCTCTGGGTATCCTCTGAGCAGGCAGGAAGTGGTGGCAAACCTGGTTTCGCCCCCATCCTTACCTCTACGAGGCACCAAAGGTCATAGAGCCAGAGTTCCAAAATGCCACCTGGGCCCTGGCACGGCAGCCGGATGGCCTCATTTTTGTTCCCTGCTTCTGGCCCTTCTGCCTGGTCCAGAGGTAAGGGAGACATGCTATGTCGAAACCAACCTCTCCCCCAAGGTGTGCTGGAGCTGGGAATAAAACTGCCAGGTACTGAGAGAGCCCAGCCACATGCCTAGTCCAGCTTTGATGTGAGAACCCAGGAAGGCAGGTCCCGGCTTGTCATCCACAAGCAGCACCCTGGAGCCTGCGGGCTGTGGGTGGGGGTGGAAGCACAGGAGAGTCCCTCACTCAGCCTTTCCATCACCAGCTTCTTCCTGCCTATGGAGCAAAACCTGGAGTGGCAAAGAGAGCAGACGCTACCCTCAGGGAGTCCCCATCTGAGGAGGAGAGCTATGACCCTAATTCTCAGGGAACCCCTAGGCTAATGGAAGAAATTGCAGAGCTTTGATGCTGGTGAGGCCAAGACATCCACCAGATGAAGCCCATACAACACCTGGTTGGCTACCAAAGGCAGTGGAGAGAGAACAAACTGAGCTCACGGGAACTGAGGGAGACAGTTAAGAAGCAGCAGGTGGGGCACAGCCCCACCCTTCCTGTCCTCGCCTCCCGTGCAGACCTACCAAGTGCAACCCTGAACGAGCAGCTGCTGCTGCTGCTAAGTCACTCAGTCGTGTCCAACTCTTTGCAGCAGTTTCCTCTGTCCTTGGGATTCTCCAGGCAAAAATACTGGAGTGGGTTGCCATGCCCTCCTCCAGGAGATCTTCCCTAACCAGGGATTAAACCCGCATCTCTTATGTCTCCTGCATTGGCAGGCGTGTTTTTTTTACCACTAGTGCCACTTGAGAAGCCAGGTGATGAGAGG